CAATGGTGGTGGTGAATTTATACATAATAATTGCAATAATTCCAGTAGACAACCCTCCTAGCAACGCCTGAAGAGGTAACGGAAGAGCATTGCCTCAACCGGCGTCATTGCTTTCAAACTCTCAAGTGCCTCCTCCTTCAACGTCTTTTTAGTTTCTGTTCTCTTAGACCTAAATTTCTAGTCCATAGACAAAATTCTCAACTCAATCATTGCTAATACTCGCATATAACTACAATAGGTTTAGTTGCGAATCATAATTACAATTTATACAAATCAAACCCCTATGATAGAGAGAGAGAGAGAGAGTTAGAGACAGAATGAACCAGTTCTTTGGCGCGCTTTACACGAAGACGGAGGGAGCTAAAGAGGAAGATAGAGACGGAGTCGATGAGGAGAACGCTGGTGGAAACTTGGAGAGTGGTAGGGTGGTCATCGTCGGTGAAGATAAATGAAGGTATAGAGAAGGGGAGTTTGACGGGTCCATTTTCAGGCAAGGCCGAATCGGGAGTTGAGCTAGCAATGGGTCAAGAGGCCGATTTCAGAAACCTTCCCGAAGTTGAAATTGAACCGAAATTGATTCTCGGTTTCACCTTCTCCAACAGAAGATACATCGGATTTCTTCGCACTTATGATTAATCTCCTAGGTTTTTTGAGTGAAGCGAGACCGGTGTGAGTTGTAGTGGAAAGGAGAAATAAGTTAGAGGTGATATCTGGAGCCATGATTGAAAGTAAATGTCGGTTGACTCAGTTACCAGTGGTTCATCCGCCATCTCTTCTAGGTGGATGTTGACATGGCAGTCAAATCCTTCCTGACATGTATATTACCTTTGAATCCGGTTGCAGGTAACAAAAGGGTATTTTAAAACATGGAAATGAGAGTTTATTACTTTAATGTGCAAAAAAAATAGTTTAGTGACCTTTTAAAACAAACGTGAAAAGTTTGATGGGCTAATATGACATTTGCCCTACTTTTAATTAATCCCAAAATTAATTCTAATTAATTTCTGATTAACTCTTAATTAAATATTATTATTTTTAATTAATATATTATTTTCTTAATGCATTAATAAATTATTTATTTTTTATTTTTTTATTAATTTATTAATCATATAATAAATTGATAAACCAGTCTCTCTCTCTCCAAAAAGCATTCCAATTTATTACTAGGTTTGAGAGCAGCCCAAAAGGACTTTGCTAACAATTCAAGATTATAATTTAGTTATTGACTTAGACACCTAATCCAATATTTCCGTCAAGTGTCCTTTGCCATTATTGAGGGGCTATTGAGATTGACACGGGGATTAGGGATAAATGCATTTATTGCATACTTATATCATGAAATATTTGTATTATCTCCTTTAGTGAATTTAAAGTGATTTGTCAAACTTTTCTAACAAAGCTTATCTTTTGAGTGTGTGTATGGAACTATAGATCATATAAGACCCTATTTAAACCTGATTTGGGTTATTAAAACCCTAAATTGTTTTGAGTGTCTTAAAGTGATTTTTTAGGTTTGATTCGAGTAAGTTGGCTTGTCATCTCTTACTCTAAATGAGTCAAACTCGGGTGTTCTTACTAGGCAAGTCCATGCCTAACCTTATTTTGATGTGTATTTAAATTGAACAAGTAAATACTTGAAGAAATAACGATGATATTTAGTGTTGGATTAAGGTGTCTAAACCCATAATTAAATTGGTATATATTTGTAATTAGAAGCAAAGTTCTTTTTAGGTTGCCCTCATAACTAGTAACCAAAAAGATTGACATTTGGAGAGAGAATATAATTTATTAGTTTGTTATATGAATAATAAACTAATTAGAAATTGAAATAAATGATTTATTAATATATTATATGATTAATATATTATTTAAAAATATTGTTAATTAATTAAGCATTAATCAAAATTAATTTGGATTTAAGTTTGGGTTATATAAAATTAATTAAAGGTGTAAGGACTTAAGTTATGATTGCTCAAAAGTTGAGCAAAGGAAGGGTTTCAAAACCTTCCTATGGGGGAGGTTTTACGTGCCCCATATTAGGGTTTGTGGAAGCCTCCTGAAGATAAGGATATTGGATAACCACATAAATTTGAAATATTATTATTATTATATTCAAATTAGGGTTTTACGGGGTTTTCCTATCAACTATAAATAGGATCCCTTAGGTAGCCTATTTTCGTCCATCATTTCTACCAAAGGAGTAGCCCAATTTCTTCCACTCTCATCTTGTCTCCTAATTGTTAGGGTTTGGGTACAAGCCATTATAGACACTAAGCTTTTGGTGCTAGTTTTTTGAAGAGCAAAGGAATGAATCAAGAGAATTATTTGATATAATAATTCTAAAGGTATGTAAACCTTACTCTTGAATTTTTTATTTCAATAGGGTTTCTCTAGGGTTCATGATATTCATAGTACCTTATTATTTGTGAAGACATAGATCATTTATAGGTTGCTTGTGCCCTTAAGTGTTAAGTGTATTTTCTGCATTCACATGTAATTTTATAACCTATAAAACTCATCATTTAGAAGGTCATATAATGTATGGTGCTTAAATATTATCGTGTTACAAAATGTTGTCTCCTCACATATGTTTTAAATAATTTTTTAACTCATTTTCAGATGACTTATAACTCATTTTCAAATAGGCCCTAGCAAGGGATATTACATTTTCAACTTATTTCACTAAATTCAAAGATTATGAAAAGAATAAAAAGATTACTTACTGAATTGTATAACATGAAATTCATGTTATTGACATCATTATCAATCGATATAGGCTTGTTTTCAACGGTCATTGTAATACCTACTCGCAGAAGATCATGTTCTCTAACATCAATGTGTATCACTTCATATTTTATTGGTGGAGGTGGCACAATAGTAGATATTGCAGACTATGATAAACAAACATATAATTCTTTAAAATAATGATATGGTTCTAAAAATATTAATATTATAAAATTTGTTCTTTGTATTTCGGAGATACGTTATGGATATGTTCTTCGTACTCATGATATACATTCCGGATCTATGTATCGTATTCCAAATGTTTTATCAGCATCCCGTACATATATTTTGCACATTATGACAAAGTTTAAGTAGATAATGTTGGGAATATTAGGGTTTGCGGTGGAGATCTGGATACCAGCTTGGATCGTGATATCACTTTTCGAACTGATATTTCTACCCTATGCTTGGGTTACAAGAAATTCAGCCTAGGATAATCCAAGCGGACACTTACGTATCTAGGCACAGAAAACGTAAGCTATTATGCTAAAGGGTTCTATGAATGTGTGATGAAAAACGAGAGCTAAAGAATGTAACCCCCTTCTGAAAAGAAGAGTTGTTTATATACTAAACATGATTAGGGTTTCATTAGGGTTGGGTCGTCATTAGTTGCATCGGAAGCCAATAATATTAATCCGTATCAGGGTTACCAAAACTAACGAGTTTTGTTAGTTTTACCATAATCACCCTCAAGAAATTGAGTTTTCCATTAAGTTCGCACATGCAAAATTCGGTGAGGTTTTGAGGTTTTCGGTGAGGTTTTCCATTAAGGGACCCTAGCCAGGGGCTCTGCCCCTAGACCCCGCCAAAGGGGCGCTGCCCCTTTGGAAACCCCGGACCCCCGACTAGTCGTCGAATCGGCTTCTGACTCGATCTTATACATGCGTGCACTCCGCACAACCTCGTACATGTATTAGGGTACAAATCATGAAACCCCTTAACTTACATGTTAGTTCTAGTTATTTAAAATGATATGGTAACACTAAAATCACCAACCGATAAACATGTAAAACCAATGTGGTTTGTGGAGTCTATACATTTTCTTCAGGAAAAAACTTCAAACTTTGAGTTTGAATATCTTTCATATCAGTATGAATGATGAGTCTCATTTATATAAATGAGGAGACCATACAAATGGACTTACCCGTTTTCCTCATATTTACTTATCTAGAATGCTACATTCCAGATAAATTGATTAGTTTTCAAATTTAGAAAAAAAAAATCATTTTTTTAGAACTTTTTAAATAAATAATTGGTTTAATCTTTTTTTTTAAACTTTTTAAATAAATAATTGGTTTAATCAATATCCCACTTTTTTTTACAGGAAAAAAAAAAAGTATACTTAAAGTCTTTCATCATATTATTTCGATTGAAACGTGAAAAACATACAAAAACATCACGTGTATTTACTGCAAAGTGAAAATCATGCAATATGTGCAATATTTTAGTTTTGCCGCTTGCTACTTTAACAATAAACTTTAATTTTATGATATTATCATATTCTTATCTTACATAAATTATTTAAATTTATGATATTATCGTATTCTTATCTACTCATATAAATTATTAGTATTAGCCAAGTGATTAAGGACTGAAACTTTTCACAACATATTTAGGGTTTAAATTCTGACACACTTAAAACATTGTTACTGTTTTGATTGACTTCAAATATAGATCTTAGCAATCTAAATTATTTTTGGTTTAAAAAGCCACACTTTCAAAAAGCTATATCGTAATCGCCAATCAGTATCATATGTTATTGCTAGTTTTGCAAGTTTTTGTTATAAAAAAAACGATTAAAAAAATTTTGTGACCACTATCTATTTTAGGGAATATTGGAATTTCTATATAGAGAAATTATATTGCAAATTTTCTAAAAGTGAATTTTGGCTTGACAAGTACATTTTTTGGGCCACATGGTAACGGGAAAGTGTTTCCAAAATGATCCATCAAAAGAATAAATTATGGGTTGCCGATCAATTTATGGTTTAATTCAAATTTTATTTTTAGAGAAAAATCCGATTATTTTATATTTTACCCAAATTAATCAATCAATTTTTATTTTTTTCTCAACAGAAAATAAAAAATTATCGTATAAAATTAAATAATCAAGACTTTTCTGTTTAAAAACTAAAAAGTTTGAATTAAACCGTAAACTAACACAAAATATTGGGATTTTATCGAAGATTTCTCATAAAATATTGAAACTTTATAGTCGATCTCTTGGACAATTATCAATTTTGGTATGTTTAACTTGTGATGATACAATTCATAACTTTTTATGACTATCAAAACTGTATAGTCGTATCAAAGTCTTCCATTTAGCATATTTAAAGCTATGATGCTAAGATATATTCTTCGTTTTACACTTTTATACAAGAAGTCTACATCTTACACCAAAGTGCCTCTTATTAGGGATGGTTTAATATGCCTTTTATTGGGTGTCTTACTCGGTTAGACCGTACGATACCACAATTATAGGTTTGATTCACTATGTCTTTTGATAAGTCTGGTAAGAAGTTGAGACTGACACTGACACTGACACTGACAGACTTGATTAGATCTTACTTAATTGGCAACTATCAAATAACCTTTAGCTACAAGAGTATTAGATGATTAAAGGTTACAGTCACATGCAATCGATATAATCAGATGGTGATGAATTAGTTTCCAGTTAAGCTTCAATAACACAAATCAGATCAACGGCCGTGTTCTTTCCCTGTTACACAAAACGAAAAAATATGTTATTTTAAATGATTATAAACTTGATGTATATGGTGGAGCCTCATCTAGGACAACACATATGCAACAAATGAAAGAATAATTTTTACCTATGGAGTTATTAATTACTCGTTTTGATAGGGTAAGATGCCAAAATTGTTATTCCACATTTACCAGTTTCCCGTTTTATATTGCGTTCCAGTCTTACGTAACCTTCTTCACCCCATTCTGCACCCCATGAGCTTCTCACAATCCAGTAGTCCTTCCCATTTTCAGTTCCATATCCAACTACAACTACACCATGGTTTACTAACTCTCCACATACACCACTAAAGATACCCTGACAAATTTGACAAAATGAAAACAACAGATTACCGATCACATCTTTTTTTCACGAAATTCAAAGAGGGATTACTTACTGAACTGTATAACATGAAATCCCTGCTACTGATATCAATACCAGTAGATATAGGCTGCTTTGCAACAGCCTTCTGTAATGCTAACTCGCTTTCCTCCAGAAGATATTCATAATCATCAATGGAAACAAGTGTTGTGTTTTTCTGAACAAATTGGAAACAGAATATAATAGTCAAGACTCAAGAACTTGAAGCATATACATATGGAGAAGATATATAAGTAGAAGGAAATTAATATGATAGGGACCTTGGAAGTGTCGCATTTTCCATCTTTGGCAGTGTAGGGATAGTCTTTGTCACTGTGTATTCCGCCATTCTTAATGATGAAGTCAAAGGCATCGGTTATAAAACCACCATCGCATCCATAGTTAGATGTATCACAATCAATGAGTTGTTGTTCTGATAGTGTGATCAGTTCACCTGTCACGATCTGGTTTATCCCTTCCACTGCTCCGATTGCTGAGAATGCCCACGAAGCCCCTTTCATTCAACAAACATGAATCCAAATCCACCATATTAATCTAACTTTTCCCCAAATGTTCGCCTAAAAATCTTCCATCATGTTCTTACGATTTTTAGTTTACTTTTCTTATCAGGTATCGATTAATTTTATAAAATAACGCACCACATTTTCCTTGTGTTTTGACGGCAGCGACGGCGCCTTTGCACCTCCAGTCAACGAAATCAGGCAGGACATCGCCATCGCCGGAAAGAGGAGAGTAACGATCACTCTTCAGCTTGTTCGACTTCCGCTTAGGAATGGCGCCGGTGTAACCTAACCGGTACTCTTCAATGCTCAGATCTGAGAACATGTTGAGTCCAAGCTTGTAAGAATGATCACCGGAGTTGTGCTCTTCTATGTACTTGAGGTTGTCTTTGAAGATCTGAAATCTCTTATCCTTCTCTCCCAGGGCGTTGTAAAATTTACCATGTTTGACGATCCAGGACTCGTACATAGCGTTGACTTCTTCGTCGGTGAGCCAGTTCGACGAGGAGGTATCGGCGGTGGTTGTTTGGGTGATGTCGTAGCCTATGATCGACATGTCCATGGCAGACGAGACTAAAAAAAGAGCAAAAATCAAGAAAATGGGCATTGACAGGAGCTTCATTGTTGGAGCTTCTTGTATTGAAAATTGGAAAGAGAGGGAGGAGAACGATGGAGTGGAAATAGGCGAGGGGAGGGATAACCGTAACTGATAAGAGGGTCGGACCTTTGTTGAGTTTGTTCAAAAGGGGCAAATAGCACCGCCAGTTATGGTACTACTCGTAAAAGTATCTCGTCTAATCAAGAGTTTGTTACCAAGACAAAGAAAAATTATTTACCAATTTATAATGGATTGAAAAATATTTACCCAAAAATAGTTAAATAATTAGAGATTCATTTTCTTAAGTAAATCAGTCCTGTCTGAGAACAAGTCATCCACACAGCGGTGAGATGATATGTCCGGTGGTGCGGTGAACAGCATACTTTTTAGTGTGCAGTTGTGTAGTAAAGTCCCCGTAGAACAAGAAAGGACGAAAGGATAAAACTGCCAAATTGGTCCTTGTGGTTTGCACAAAACTTTGGTTGGGATCCAAAAAGTTTTCAACTTGTATGGAAGGTTCAAAATCAAGAATTTTCTTTGGTTTTGATCCTTGAAATTTTAAAATATCCATTTTACCCTTATTATTTATTTTTCACATTTTCTTTATTTGTGTTCATTGTTTTGTAATTAAAAAAAAAAAGCAAAAGAAAAGAAAATTCGGAGGATGACCTCTCTCTCTCTCTCTCTCTTAAGCCATTCTCACGGCACCACCACCCGTTTTTGATTTAGGTACTTTAACAAGTGCTTCAAGAAATTTAAATACCCAATTGTGGCTTAAACATAAATTTGTGAAGCAAAATTACTAAAAATCAATGAACATAACCAAGAACTAGAAGTTACAGTAGGGAAAGATCATTCAGACAAAAGATCAAACACTTGGTGGGCATCCACCATACTTTATGTTCATGGGTTGCAGCTTTACTGAGTAATCTTTCACATTATTTTCTTCTTATATCATTCAATTCCCCATTCTTTCAACTTTAAATCTAAACCATTTCCATGAATGGTTTAATGGTATAAAAAGATGCAACAAGAACGATCTTTACAGATGAGAAAGAAGATAATAACAATGCCTATTTTTCTTTCTGCAATGTAAGATTTGTTCGGAGATCGCCACCATCGGTTTTTAAATGTGTTCTACCTACATGAATTGAACTCAATCTGGTCTTCAAATGGCCCTATTCCATCTTCTTCCCCACCTAGTCTTCTTCACCATTTCTAGACCAGAAAACCTGTAACAAAGATACAAATCCACAGACCCGTCAAATAATTGAATCGAGATGAAAAGATATTAGATACAAAAAATGAATAGAGAAGAGGAATGCATTAGTCGAAAAGGGGTTTAACTAGAAGGGGTAGGGAGGATGGTTTTGATCGGACCCTATGGGAGTTTGATTCCTTAACGATCTCCATTCGCCTTCTGTATAATGTTCTATCATTATATCGGGTTTTCCGATCCATTCTCTATCTACAAAATCATATTTCACAGTTGTCCGACCCATCATTCTGGCGATATCTTCTGGTGAAAGCCTTGGAACATTATTTAGGTTCATTGCGACAATTCATGGTGAATCTGAATAGAGAAGGTTGAGAAGGAGACTGGAGACACCAATCGTGATTCGTGTTTATATACACTAAGTTAGAGTTTATATCATGGTTGATATGGTTTTAAAGAACATGGACTCAGAGATCTGTGAGAAAGGCTTCCAAGAGAGAGAGAGAGAGTGTGTGTGTGTGTGTGTGTGAGTGAGTGAGTAAGTGAGTGAGAGAGAGAGTGTGAGAGGGTGGGGTCGTCCTCCGATTTTTCTTTTCTTTTTTTAATTACAAAACAATTAAAACAAATAAAGAAAATGTGAAAAATAAATAATAAGGGCAAAATTGTCATTTCAAAATTTCAATGACCAAAACCAAAGAAAATTCTTGATTTTGGACCTTCCATGCAAGCTTAAAACTTTTTGGACCCCATCCAAAGTTTTTTGCAAACCACAAGGACCAATTTGACAGTTTTGTCAAAAAGAAAGTATCGCGTCTTTATTTGTCACGCTTCATATTTTTGTAGAGTACAATCTCTTATTTCTTGCATTAATAGAGTGCAGGGAAAGGTGACTCATCTCAATAATGCTTCCTGAAAGATTTAGTGTTGTTTGGTAAGGTTGCTAAATAATTGGATAAAAATATCATTATAACCTTCTAATAATAACAAGTTCAAATAACATAAAAAAAAATATTATACTTCATTATGTTCCGGATTGTAATCCCTAAAGTTCCATGAGCAAAAGCTCCTGTCATGATGAATCCAACAATGTATTGGTGTTGACTATATAATGCACCTTGAGTAGTAAACTTTGTGTTATAAATGCATAAACATGTAAAGAGTACATGTGTTAAGCTACCAAAGAAGTAATAACCACTAGAGAAGTTATAGCAAGGCTTAATTGAAAATGAAGCAAATTATTAATTGTGTCATAAAGGCCCTTATGCCCACGTCCCAATCGCCCTCCCGGAGGGATATGTGCATCTAAAAGATCTTTCATATTGTGCCCAATCAGTCCCTCAAAATTAGTTCTATACACCCAAAATTAGTTTTATACATATGCCCAACAATAAAAAAAAAAAAAAGAAATGCAATAGCTAAATGATGATGAGTCATATCAGTCCCTCAAAACATATCATCGACCTTCAAAATCAAAAGCATGTTACCAATCTTCAAAATCCAAAATTCAAAACATACTATCAATCTTCAAAATCCATTTTTTATTTTAGAATCATGATATAAATTCATCTTAACAAAAAATGAGAAAGCTCATATGGACAATGCTCTTTGATTGTCTTCTCTAGTGATTCGTGTTTCTTAATCGTCTTACGAATCTCAATGAATTAAAATAAACGTCATTCGTGTTAATATTGATTGTCATAAAAGAGCAACATTCCATTTGCCATAAACCAAGAAATCAGAATGTAGAGCTACATTTCATGAGAAAACAAAGAAAAATGAAATGATTAACAAAAAAAAATATGCACTTATTTGACAATAATGGTGGGGAAGGAAGAAGGTGGCAACAATTAAGTCGACAAGGACGATGATGGGGAAGAAGCAAGGGGCAGTCGGTGAACTTTTAGGTTCAAGATAGAAATATGTTACTCTTGTTTGCCTGCGGCAACGAGGAAGAACGAACGTTGCGATTGGGAGACTGACTAAGATTGGGATTAAAATCAAGTGGCGGTCACAATGATATACTCTCACATTATAACCTTCTAATAATACCAAGTTCAAATAACATAAAAAATATATTATTCTTCATTCTGTTATGGATTGTAATCCCTAATAAAAAATATAGCTCCATGAGCAAAAGCTCCTGTCATGATGAATCCTGCAATGTATTGGTGTTGAGTATATAATGTACCTTGAGTAGTAAACTTTGTGTTATAAATGCATAAACATGTAAGGAGTACATGTGTTAAGCTATCAAAGAAGTAATAACCACTAAAGAAGTTATAGCAAGGCTTAATTGAAAATGAAGCAAATTATTAATTGTGTCATAAAGGCCCTTATGCCCACATCCCAAACGCCCTCCCGGAGGGATATATGCATCTAAAAGATCTTTCATATTGTGCCCAATCCCAAAATTAGTTCTATACATATGCCCAACAATAAAAAAAAAGAAATGCAATAGCTAAATGATGATGAGCCATATCAATCCCTCAAAACATATCATCGACCTTCAAAATCAAAAGCATGTTACCGATCTTCAAAATCCAAAATTCAAAACATACTATCAATCTTCAAAATCCATTTTTTCTCTTAGAATCATGATATAAATTCATCTAACAAAAAATGAGAAAGTTCATATGGACAATGCTCTTTGATTGTCTTCTCTAGTGATTCGTGTTTCTTAATCGTCTTACGAATCTCAATGAATTAAAATAAACACCATTCGTGTTAATATTGATTGCCATAAAAGAGCAACATTCCATTTGCCATAAACCAAGAAATCGGAATGTAGAGCTACATTTCATGAGAAAACAAAGAAAAATGAAATGATTAACAAAAAAAATATGCACTTATTTGACAATAATGGTGGGGGAGGAAGAAGGTGGCAACAATTAAGTCGACAAGGACAACGATGGGGAAGAAGCAAGGGGCAGTCGGTGACCTTTTGGGTTCAAGATAGAAATATGTTACTTTTGTTTGCCAGCGGCAACGTGGAAGAACGGACGTTGCGATTGAGAGACTAACTAAGATTGGGAAAAAATCAAGTGGCGGTCACAATGATATACTCTCACAAAAGAATGGTCTAGACTTATTGTTTAGTTGAAAGGTTATGCCTCTAACCGGATGAAAGATTCAAATTCGATGAATCTAACGCTCTTAATGGTTAAACCATTCGGATGTTGTTTTATATTAAACCATTAAGAGGCTATCAAAGAGGTTCTTTTATATTAAACCATTAAGAAGCTATCAAAGAGGTTTTTTTATATGAAACCATTATGAAGTTATCAAAGATGTTGTTTTATATTAAACCATTAAGAAGCTATCAAAAGGGCGATAATTATAGATATATTTGAAAATGGTGAGGGCAATATGTAATGACAAATTTGGAATGAAAAGGCACTCGGAGGTTGGAGCACAAAATAAGATAATAAGTTGTGATATTACATTGAACAATACGGGCACAAGAATTGACAATGAACTTCATATGTACGTCGGTATGATTCATCTTCATCCCTTTTCTTTGCATATAGAAGTTCTAATATAATTTTTCTATGCATCTCTCTGTAGAATTGGTTGTTTATTTATAAAAAGTGTATAACGACATAACTGATCTATAGCATATTTCCATAAATGGAAAAAAGTCAAATAAGGACAAATTTATAAAACTTTATGGTTGAACTTAGAAAGCCTTACTTTATTAAATCGTGCTTTGAGTTAAAATGAAACATCAATATATATATATATATATATATATATATATATATATATATATATATATATATATATATATATATATATATATATATATATA